AAAGTGTTAATAAAAGTGTCCTCTTTCCAATGAACCAACCCGTTTTGAAAAATAACTTTTAGTTTTTGAGAAAACAATATTTGAAGTTTTGATAAAATTTTCGATGTTGCAATTTTCATCGATAACTTTCAAAATTCGCTATAAAATTAATTTCTTGAAGTATTCTTGTGGAAATATCGCCAATTATTAACCGAAATATCTTGTTAGAGTTGCTTCGTTAGTTAAATCAGCATCAAAAAAGTTTATGTCGTATCTTGGATCCAAATAAGTTGAGATATCTTATCACCTTTCTTATTAATTTCATTTTTATTCAAATATCACTTCAGAAATGCAACAGAAATTATAACCATAATGGCCGGATAGATATGCCGGATATCCGGCCAAAGGGGATACCAAATATCCGGCTTTGACTTTTTGCATGGAGTCCTTTATCATTTTTTTCAAAATAATTAACAAAAATCCAATCGAAGTATTCGACTTTTTTATTATTATACCGTTATAGACCGGTTATAGACCGTTTTACCAGATAGCCAGAAACCTACCCTATACCCGACACCTCAGCCTCTACTATAGCTTAAACGTTATTATAGCAGCATTTGTCAAGATTCGGCATACCACATACTATTACATGATACATGACCAAGGAAGGCAATTTGAATCCCGACATTCGATCATTTTAATAGATTACTAGGATCTGACCAGATCCACACTTCGCCCTTTCATCCTCAAAGCAATGTGCCATTACTTTGAGGATGAATTGGAGAGGTTTAAAACTGCCATAGCTGCCAGAAGAACCGGTTACAGGTGAAGCAATGCTCTCCCAATTATTCTATTAGGCCTTAGATCTTCTCTTAAAGAAGTTCCCCAGCTGAATTAGTATATGGCCAACCTCTACGTCTGCCAAGCGAATTTTTCGTTACTTCTCAAGACCACTTAGAAGTAGAACCACTACTATCTAGTCTTAAGGAGACATTTTCAAATCGACATCCTGTTCCCATTTATTTTCATTCCAACATTAAACCTTTTATCCACAAAAACTTATTTGTTACGGTGAGGTTTATCATAAAAATTACTCACTTTATTTGAATTCTAAACATGCCATGTTATCTTTGTTGTAAACTTCTTTTCTAACAACTGTGATTAAAGAGAATGTGCCTGCGCGGTGTTGAACCCGGTTTTATGTGTTATTTACACAAGTACTAAGTTAGAATTATAAATTGAAATAAATACGTTAGTGTTAACAGCCAATTAAAGAAAATAGTTTATAACAGGAAAATTTGCACTTCAAATTTTAATTTAAATAGTATATTCAACATGTTTAGGTTGAATCTAGGTTAAATGATGATCTCTAATCATTTTGATATGTTCTTACAATGTTTGTTGTACTATTTGATATTGCAGAAAAACATATTGTAATATTACTTTATGTACATCTTTATCTTCTAATATCACAACACTTTATGTTTTCATCTTAAAATGAGTTCCTTTCTCTGTTATTATCAAGTATAAAAGCAATGTGGTGTTGCCAATGGCAAAAAATAACCTAAAATATTAATAACCTTCATTCTAAAAGTTTTGTCTTCTTTTTAATTTCATCTTTATCATCCTCTTTTAATAAATTTTGTTGCAAGCTTTAAGTTTGTTGATAATCTATGATTCATTTAAGTAATAATAATCATACTCATCAATAATTTTGTCTTAATTATTTTTTAATTCAAAGTTTTATCAAGCTGGTGAAGAGATATCTATAGCTTCATTGTAATGTATTAATCTTGTGGTTATTTATATGAAATTTATGGTTTGTGATAAATAGAATCTTCTTTAAAATCATTACTTGTAATATGTTGTACTATATTCTTCAGCTTTAGCACTAATTGGAGCTATAATAATTAATAAGTATAAGAAAATGATATCAAATACCATGAAGTAGAAGAAATTTTCCTTCCAGAATGATTATTTATATAAATTTTAACCCATTTTACAGAAAACTTAATAATGATAGGAGACTATGATGTCAAGTATCCTCAATAGGAACCTAAATATCCACACTGAGAGGCCTATGGGACACTTCTATGTGATAAAAATGTTGTAAAAAGCTATTTCTACATTTTGATGTACTGAGATGTTCTTCTTCATTCTAAATCATCAGATAATTCCGTTTTTATTTTTTAATCATCTAATTGTAACTATTACGAATGTTATATGTTTAAGAACATTTTTATAAATGTTTCAACATAACCTTTCATTATCTTTTTTTTGTAATAAATTGCTTTTCTTTTCCAACTTGTTGAGGTTTTATTCTAGATCCATACATGATTCAATTTCAAAAAGTAATTCATTGATGTTTACCTTTATAAGAGTCTTTTAATTATACTTATAACTTTTTCCAACCCACATTTGGAGCAGGAGCTCCAATTTTTTACCCCATATCTGTTTAAAATAAGACAGTGCAATCTTTAAACTTGTATTTAACACATCTTATGTTTCAATATGTATCCATTAAACTGCTTAACATAAATACGCTATCTAAAAAGTAATAATAAAGTTATACCTTGCAGTGTATTTTGGGTTAATCAATGCCGAAAAAGGTTACCATTTCTTCACAAAAATAACATAATATACTAAACATGATACGCTTTGTTTATTGCTTACTTATTTGTTAATTATAAGAGTCAAAATTAATAACATTGTAAAAAATTACTTTATTGAGGTTATGTTTATTAAAAAATATAGAGGTTATGTTCTTATTAATTTTTAATAATTTATTTATTTTTTAAATACCCAATTATATTTATTGTTATTAATTATACACACAATTATTTCTTTTTATTACAAACAAATAAGATTATATAAAACTTAATTTTATTTAAATAATTAAATTTAAAACCAAATAAATACTTTTAGAAACATTTCATTTCTAAACGTTGGTATTCCGAATTCTGACATTTGTATTATATGGAGGGGGGATCTTGAAAGATGACAGAAACACGCTGCGCGATTAGTTTCATTTTGACATCGGACTCGTTCGGTTTGTTGCAGTTAATTTCTCCACTCCGTGTGTTTACCTGAAAATTAGTGACTTCTCTATTTGTTTTGTGCCTACACCGACGAAATCGTCCCATTTCCGCCCTGCCGAGAAGAAAGAATTATGCCCCAACCCACAGAAATCACCGTCACATCTCCATCACAGGTAACATTTACATTCTAATAAATTTTGCAATGTTTGTTTATCATTTCCAAGAAAAAATTTCGTGTTATACATATTTATATATGTTGTGAGTAATTTTTTTGGGTAAATTTGCGAAAGATTAATGAGGTAATATCATTGAAAGTGGAGATGACATAATTTTGGTTTAAATGCAGAAATGAAATTCTAAAAGTATGTAATGATTAATACGATTTTTGATGTAATAATTGGATTTATTGGTTGTTGTAAATGATCTGTCACTTAAAATACTTCTTTTTTTTATCAAAGATCCACTTAATAATCCAAACATGTTGTGGCCGCTCACGTTTACCTTCATTACCATATGAATTCGTCCTTAAAATAGAGGTAAATAGGAAACGTTTGCATATAAATCGACTGAAACCGACACAATATCATAATAGAAATAACTCAAGGAAGAAAAAAAAGTTTTTACCCTTCCTGATAGGGTTCCTTACAAAATTATTACCGTGAGAAGCGAAAGAATCTACACTCAATTACCAAAAGCAATAACCGACCGCTTACTACTACCAAAAACTCAAAGTGGAGTCTATTTATAGAAAGGACCCTCTTCATTCATTCATTTAAAAAAAAAATTGTTGGTAGCGTTGTTTTCTCCCTCATTCAAGCAACACACAGTGTTGTTATTGTTGTGGGATCGACGGCAAACTAATTAAGCATAGAGTCAAAAAAACCACTTCTAATCTGCAACCGGCTTCTTAATTCTTAAATAATGACATTTTGAAGAACATGTTAAAGATATGTTATAACCCCTATTTCGTGTCATGTCTTGAGTAGCAACTGACGAAAGACAGAGTTCAAAATTACTTCGCGTTACTGCTGCCGTTGGTGATCCAAAGACATTTCTTCTTCGTCGATTTGTAACGGGATACATCGACAGATGCGAGAGTTTGACTAAATATACTCTGGGGGGAAATGTAAATAAGATCTGTTCGAGGGGGCGTTTATTATAATATCGTAATGTATTAGTTTTTTTTGTGGATTTTATTTATTAATGTAATATGTTGTAATAATAATAATTAATTTTTTTATGTTTCTCCATCTATCGAGAATTACACGTATTAAATCGTTTTTTTTGACATTGCGAAATGTCACCGGTTGGAATTAATCCTTAAATTAATCAATTTTATAAAATAAAAATATTAATTTTCGATTTGAAAATGAAATGTTTATAAAACAGAAAATTAATCTTCTTATTTGAATTAATTTTAAGTTAAATTCATTTTTAATTAGTTACTTACCCCATCTAGTGGTAATCAACCATATTAAATCATAAATGACAATTTACAATCGACGTTTGACATTCACCCGAATTAATTTTATAAAAAATAAGTTTTTTTAAATCTATTGGTGATTTAATGTTGTGGAAATGATTTTATTACTCCAAATTAATCAGAAAAATTTGACAGAAAAGCATAACCTCACTTTTATGCGACTTCAATTGTAATCGATTTCAAAGAATTGGAATGATTTATTTAAGAAAAACAAAGTAAGTCAATCGATTTTATTAATTTTAATTCATATAATCATTAATTAATACTATAATTTTTAAGTTTTCTTTATAATTAAGAAAAAATCATTTTTAATTAGTTACTTACCCCATCTAGTGGTAATCAATCATATTAAATCATAAATGACAATTAACTGTCGCCGTTTGACATTCATCCGAAAATTCGTTGATTTTATAAAAAATAGGTTTAATCGACCCGGAAAAACAGTCAAAATACGTTTTTGAATACTCAAACGTCCTATTTTCTAATGATTTAAAGTCGTGGAAATGGTTTTATTACTTCAAATTAATCAGAAAAATTTGACAGGAAAACATAACCTCACTTTATAGTCTTGTCGCTATCAACTTTACTCGATTTCAAAGAATTAGGGTGACTTATTTAAGAAAAACAAAGTAAGTCAATCGATTTTATTAATTTTAATTCATATAATCATTAATTGGACCGCGTTATGCATTACTTGACTAAGCTATAAAAGAATAATGTTGAGAAAAACGGGATTTTCGTTTTCATCTCTCTAAAAATATGACTTCTCAACACAGAATCCGCTTGATCAATCGTTTTGCGATTATACAGGATGTTTCTGTAAGTCGTGGCATAAATTTAATCACAAATACTAGAGTCAAAATGATGTTTCGTGTAAAAATTTTTGAAGAAAATTATCTAGAGTTTGATTTTGTACTTTACAACTGGTTTCTGTTTTATATAGAATTTAAGTCTAACTAGTTTCGCCCCTTGGCCATCTTCAGAGACTCTAAAAATAGATTAACATCCCTCATCCTATCCACTTTACAAAGAAAGTTTCTTAATATTTCTTTTTCTTTAGTTAAAAAAGATCACATATTAAAGTCGAAATCATAACTAATTTACAAAATTAAAGTTTAAAAGTGTGAAACAATTTGTGAATGCACAATTTGTTGAAACAATGTGAAATGATCCAAAAAACGCTATAAATAAAAAGAAAGTGCTGAAAAGTGACTAACACATTTATTATATGATAACTAACTTCAGGTTTAAAATGTCAACCTCAATTTTGACATATTTGTAATCTTCATTAAAAATCCTTTAAAATGAGTACAAACACGACATATTTATCTTCAATATTAATGAAGTTATGGTCAACTTCCGGTTAAGAATGTCAACATCAATTTTGACATATTTGTAATCTTCATTAAAAATCCTTTAAAATGAGTACAAACACGACATATTTATCTTCAATATTAATGAAGTTATGGTCCACTTCCGGTTAAGAATGTCAACGTCAATTTTGACATATTTGTAATCGTCGTGAAAAATCCTTTAAAATGAGTCCAAACATGATACGTTTAATTCCAATATTACTCGAGATATAAGCAACTTCCGGTTTGAAATGTCAATGTCATTTTGACATATTCTTAATTTTTATAAAATGTCTTAATATTTGTCACAAAAACAAAAATATAATAAAAAAAAATAAAAAATTAAGGTTGGTATTAATATTTAAAAATTAAATTGCCAACCTCAATTTTGACATATTTGTAATCTTCATTAAAAATCCTTTAAAATGAGTTCAAACACGACATATTTATTTTCAATATTAATGAAGTTATCAACTTCCGGTTAAGAATGTCAACGTCAATTTTGACATATTTGTAATCGTCGTGAAAAATCCTTTAAAATGAGTCCAAACATGATACGTTTAATTCCAATATTACTCGAGATATAAGCAACTTCCGGTTTGAAATGTCAATGTCATTTTGACATATTCTTAATTTTTATAAAATGTCTTAATATTTGTCACAAAAACAAAAATATAATAAAAAAAAATAAAAAATTAAGGTTGGTATTAATATTTAAAAATTAAATTGCTATCTTCATTGTTGCTAACTTCGGGTTTAATGTTTTTTATTCTAACTTTTTTGTTTTTTGAGATAAGTGCGTCATCTTTGGACTCATTTTAAAGGTTTTTTAATGAAGATGACAAATATGTCAAAATTGACGTTGACGTTTCAAACCGGAAGTGATTGTATTTCCATTAATATTAAAGTTAAATATGTCGAGTTTGGACTCATTTTAAAGGATTTTTTTATGAAATTGACAAATATGTCATAATTAAAACTTGAAAGTTCGAACTTTTTGGTTTTTTGAGATAAATGCATTCATCCGGAAATTCATTGATTTTATAAAAAAATAAGTTTAATCGACCCGGAAAAACAGTCAAAATACGTTTTAAAATACTCAATCTATTTTTTAGTGATTTAATATGGTGGAAGTGATTTTATTGCTCCAAATTAATCAAAAAATGTTGATAGAAAAACATAACTTCAATTTATAACCTTGTCCATTTCAACTTTAGTCAATTTCAGAGGATTGGGGTAATTTATTTAAGAACTACTAAGCAAGTTAGTCGATTTTATTAATTTTAATTCATTTAATCATTAATTAATCGTATAATTTTGAATTTTTTTTATAATTGTTCAAAGAAATCATTTTTAATTAGTTACTTACCCCATCTAGTGGTAATCAACCATATTAAATCATAAATGACAATTTACAATCGCCGTTTGACATTCGTCCGGAAATTCATTCATTTTATAAAAAATAAGTTTAGTCGACCCGGAAAAACAGTTAAAATACGTTTTAAAATCCTAAAACTTCATTTTTTTCAGTGATTTAATGTGGTGGAAGTAATTTTATTGCTGCAAATTAATCAAAAAAAATTGACAGAAAGACAACTTCACTTTATAACCTTGGCGATTTCAACTTTCGTAAATTTCAAAGAATTGGGGTAATTTATTTAAGAACTACAAAGTCAGTCAATCGATTTTATTAATTTTAATTTCTATAATCATTAATTAATCCTATAATTTCAAATTTTTTTTATAATTTTTCAAAAATTTTTTTTTTTAATTAGCTACTTACTCCATCTAGCGGTAGTCAATCAAACTATTCGTGACGTTTCATAACCATCATTTGGCGTTTACCCTAAAATTAATTATAAAATTAATCAAAAATAAAGGGGTTAATTGAACCGGAAAACAATCCAAATGCATTTATAAATACTTTAACTATCTATTTTTGTTCAGTCAAGTGATGTATAACGCGGTCCAATTAATCCTATAATTTTTAAGTTTTTTTTATAATAATTAAGAAAAAAAATCATTTTTAATTAGTTACCCCATCTAGTGGTAATCAACCATATTAAATCATAAATGACAATTAACTGTCGCCGTTTGACATTCATCCGGAAATTCGTTGATTTTATAAAAAATAAGTTTAATCGATCCGGAAAAACAGTCAAAATTCGTTTTTAAATACTCAAACTTCCTAATTTTTAGTGATTTAAAGTCGTGGAAATGGTTTTATTACTTCAAATTAATCAGAAAAATTTGACAGAAAAACATAACCTCACATTATAACCTTGGCGATTTCAACTTTAGTCGATTTCAAAGGATTGAGGTGATTTATTCAAGACAT